CCCACCACACGCTAATAAACTAAATACATGTGCTCTGTAAGTGAGGTTTTTTTTTTCTTATTTCTGCTCTTAGAGGTTGGCTATATTTTTAATTTTAGAAGCCACACACCTAAAGGATGTTACGAGAACAACAGACTGAGAAAAAGCTCAGATTATCTTCTTCTGAACTTTCAGGAGTAGGGGGGGATTGGGCATATGAACCTGCTTATAAATCCCTCTTACCAAGATTTTCTCTTTGTCTCTGCTTTTCCGTTGAGTTTAATTTTCATTCACAGTGCGTTGAAAGGCAGTATGGAGTCACGCAACATTAAACCGATTACAAACTGGGGATATTATAAGCCGATGGTGAAGCCTGCAACTTAAATAGCGAATTCTCCATAGTGCAAACAACTGTGTTATTCGGGTTTCTGCAATACTGCCGCTTTGATAGTGAAGTGAAAAAAATCTAAGACCAAGCACTTCATGGAGATAGCGTATTTCCTAAGGCATCAGTAATTCAGACTCTTCACTGGCATCAGGAAATCCCTGAGATAACGCCATTAGTTCTCACTAAAGCAAAAGCTGGTAGAAACGACCTTCAGTTGGAAAAGCTAGCCAGGACAAGTTTTATTTGCCTGGACCACAGACAGTAGCCCTTTAAATGACAGAAAGGCAGAAAGATAAGCCTAAGAAAATACCAAGTTAAGAGGAAATTCTTAAATCATCTACTGAACACTTAGTTAAGTAATGTGACCACAGACGGTTTCAATAATAAAAGGACGGGCAAACTCTTCATCCTATAGTCAGATTACATGGGGAACCCTCTTGCCATTCTTGGAATCCAGTACTTAATTGAGATAAATACACCCTAGGTGGGCTATCCCTCAACCTTTTTCATATAGGAGAAGAGTCATGCTCAGAAAGGAAATGCTGAGAGTTTCCAATCAGTTTACACATGGAACGTCTACGTCCTACACTCGAAGCTGAACTTGACGATGAGGTTGTAACCTCAAATAGCCACACTTGTTTATAATACCAAATCCCTCCTCTTTCCCAAAATTTACTGGAAATTTTCACATATACTGAAATGACAGAAAATTGGACATATTTGTGAATAGAATCATCATTTAACAGGAGAAACGCATAATGTCTAAATCCAAGGTACAAAGCCACATTAGGAAAAGAGACAGTAGAAGGTTGCCCATCTTGTCTCTTCCTGGGCTTTTTCAGATTCTGACCTGAAATAGCTGATTATCTCTTCAAACTTTCAGGATCTCACAGAAATATACTATATACTATAAAATCTTTACAGTAACAGGTTCATAATTATCCCTTTATCAATGGAAAGCATTATCTCTTTCCAGCTAGGGTACATTAACGGTCCCGGAGGAAATTCCAGGCCCGGGGAGCCCTTTAAAAACCACTTAAACTTGGCGGCTATATAGCTGAAAAATGATAGCTTCAGACTATAAGCTATATGGAAACAGAAGCCTAAATTTACTTTTGTTCACGCATTCATTCCATGAGAAAACATTTTAGACCTTACTGTGTGCCAGGCTTTGTGCTAAGCACTGGCGACGCCCAGATAAAGAGAAGCTGACTCTCTCCTCCCAAGGAATTTCACTTCTGGGATGGTTCTTCCTCATCTCTGGGGGGGAAGTCACCCCGGAGGCTCTGCAGACCCCTGGGTGAGGCGCCTTCATTCGTGAACCCTCGGCATCCCAGGTTCACAGTTCTCTCTTCCCCAGTTCTGGCCCCACCTCTGGATGGCTTCAACATGGGTGAGATGACTTGTCCACCATCCTGGCTTCACTTCTCTGACTTCCTGTTTCATCTCCATACAAGTTCACGTCTACTCCACCCATACAAATAGTCACAGCCCCTAGTCACCTGGACCTGCTTCACTTGTGAAACTGTTTAGCTATGCTCCTCTCTGACCACAGCCTCTCAGCTTTCCAGTTACTTCCACACCACCTCTTCCTATCGCTCCCTGAAGAGTCAGCCTCTTGATCCTTCGACCTCCTGATGACCAGCTTCCATATGAATTCATAGCTTCTCCTACCCAATGTGGCGGCCTTGACAGACATCACTTCAACCACGTAATCATTCTTTTGCTCAAATCCTCACTTCTCTTGCCCAGCTGTCCTCTGCCCACCTGGGCTGGACCCACCTGGCTCCTGAGTACTGAGCGAGCCTGGAGAAACGCCACACCCATGCAGACTGGTACTGCTGCAGAACACTGAGCAGGCTGGGCTCCTAACACCGCTGCTCAAATTGGCCCTCTTCTCTCTTATTCTCCAGAAATGGGAACCCACCCACAACCCTCTCGCCTTCGGCTCGCCATCGCAGCAGAGAACTCTGCCTTCACGCAGAAAACACACCTCTACATGGCTTCCCACACCTTCCTGCAGCTGGGTCTCCCTAGCCACCGGGACCTGCACAGATCCCTTCCGCATCACTCTCCCATTACAGCAGCAGAGACGTGCCCGTTCCTTCTAGTGGGTCCTAGATTACCTCCCCTACACTCTGAGAACTCCCATTGTTTATTATCTCATCCTCTCTTCTCATCTTCAATTAAATGGACTCAAGGGGCACTTGCGTGGCTCAAGTGGTTAACTCTCCAACTCTTGACCTCAACTCTTGACCTCGGTCCAGGTCATGATCTTGTGGTTTGTGAGCTCGAGCTCCACCCTGGGTTCTGCACTGACAGCACAGAGCCTCCTGGGGATTCTCTCTCCCGCTCTCTCTCTTCCCCTCCCCAGCTTGTGTGTGCTCACTCTCTCTCTCTCTCAAAATAAATAAATATTTAAATGGACACAAGTGTCTCTCAACTTCTAAGTACTTACATTTCAGGTATTCGGTCCGCACCAGCTGATTGCCCCTCTTCTTCCTTTCTCCTTCAAAATAAGTTTCTCCAAGAACTGGCCATTACCACCATCTTCTCATCCCCTTTGCATTTACTTTTAAGTCCACTGTATCCCCTCCACCACGGTTCTAAAAATCTCACTGTAGAGGGGCGCCTGGGTGGCTCAGTCGGTTAGGCATCTGACTTCGGCCCAAGTCTTGATCTCGCAGGTGAGTTTGGGCCCCACGACAGGCTCTGCGCCGACAGCTCAGAGCCTGGAGTCTGCTTCAAATTCTGTGTCTCCCTCTCTCTCTGCCCCTCCCCTGCTCATGCTCACTTGCTCTCTCTCTCTCTCTCTTTCTCAAAAATAAAGAAACATTAAAAAAATAAATATAAAAAAGTAAAAATCTAACTGTAGTACTGAACTCCTTGTCGCAAAATCCAAAAGGCACTTGCACCAACTTCATGCTGGCCTCCCATCAACATGCGTCCCCAGCGGCCACAGCCACTTCCCTCCTACACGGTGCGTGGTCCTCTCCTTCTTGGCATCTTCCTTCTCCCCCTCTGGCCACCCCTTTGCAGTTCCCTCTCTACACTGTTCGTCCTCTATCCCAAATACTCTTTTCTTCTCCCTCTACACACTCTCCCTGAACATCTACACGCTCATGAGTCCTAAATATTATTTGTCTATTTCTTCTGACCATCACAGCTTTACACCCATCCCCCCTCACTGGGCAGGGCGCCAAGTCACCCAAGTGAGCACCTAGTAGCTTCCTTGGGTCCCCTTCACCCACCCCATGAACTGCATCGCTAAGGCCTGTCAAGTTCACCTCCTAAGTATTTCTCCACTGTCTCCACTTCTCTCCATTCCTCCCGCATCCGTTCAGGCCACCACGTTGCCAATTTAAAGTACCACGACTGCTCAACCCAGTCTCTCGGGGCAGGTGCACAGCCCACCATACTCTAAGTGCACAGACACAATGATCCTGCTAAATGAAAATCCCACCATGTCATCCCCTTGCGTGGCTCCCCACTGACCTCTAAACTCTACATACATTTCAAGCCTTTCACAGTCTGCCTCCCACCCATCTCTCCAGCCAAATGTTTCACCAGAGCCCCTTCTTGGGACTCTGTGCTTCGGCCGGGCTCCAGTATTTTAAGCTCCTGAACACATCAGCACATGCGAGTCCTTCCAGAGAGAACACTCCTAGAGCGAGCTCTACTAACCCTTAGGGACTCACAGGGCTCAGGCACTACTTCTTCAAGCAAAGCCTCTCTGAAACTCACCCCCACACCTAGCTGGTCTCATAGTACCCCTATTCTACTGTCGCATAACTAAATACAGGACTTTGAAACCATCTCTTCACTCTTCCTCAAGGTGCCCATCAAGTGTGTGAACACAAATGGTATCACTTAGCTTTTTTTTTTTTTTAAGTTGTGCACATTCTCAATGGTCTTCTACTCATTCACCTATGTCTCCAGACTTCACGAACCCCCTGGATCTCCCTCATTAGACTACGAGTTCCATCCCGGTAGGGCCTGTACCTGTCTCTTTCATGCTTCTATCCTCAGTGCACACGGGCCCTTAAATAATACGTTCTACTTCACCTTGATGATAGCGGAGTTATAAATAAACTATGAGACGAAGACACGGGGCGTAAGACATGCCAGGATTTCCCCGCTGAGGTAGGATATTTAGCCAAAGCAGAGAAACTAGCCTGTCATCTGGACTCTTAACACATCATTCATCTAAACATTGGCAGTCAAACTAATAACATTCTCACACCTGTGAAATGTATGGCTAGTGCAGACATTGTCTTCTACTACTATGTTCCATTTAGGAGAAGCACCAGCAAAGGCAGAAGAGGGGGAGATATTTCAAGTTTAATAAAGGTAATTCTCGAAGCCAGTGTCATTAGCTGGAAATAAAAAGTACAAATACCTTGTCCAATCAAGGAACGGTGACAAAGGAGAGATTCTACGTAATATTACAAAGGAGTCGCGGGGCACCCTAGGCCACAGACACCTTACTAAAGGAAATTTTATGTTACAGCTGGATTTGCGATAGCTATTTCTCCCCCTCTTCAAGTGAAAATACCCCTGAATCCTTTTTTTTTTTTTTTTTTTTTAAAGCAAAGAGGAACCATCATGTGCTCCAAGCACTGGTAATACTCACAGCAAAGGGCCTTCTGTAGTCTTCGGAGTTTCATGGCCGTCCTATAAGCTGAGAACCTGACATTATTCAGGTCAGCTGAGGAAAAAAGGGACAGAAGAAAGATCATTTGTTATTTCATCAGAAAGTACATAAACTCCAAACGTTTAGAAATAACAACAACATGAGCCTGGGTGACTCAGTCGGGTAAGCGTCCAACTTTGGCTCAGGTTGTGATCTCACAGTTTGTGCGTTTGAGCCCTGTGTCGGACTCTGTGCTGACAGCTAGCTCAGAGCCTGGAGCCTGTTTTGGATTCTGTATCTCCCACTCTCTCTGACCCTCCCCTGCTCACGCTGTCTGTCTGTCTGTCTCTCTCAGAAATAAATAAAAAACATTAAAAGAAAAAAAAAGAAATAACAACAACAGTAACATAGAGAGAAAAATCTTTTGTATATCCCCCAAGTTTAAAAATTCTGTCAGGGGAGCCTGGGCGGCTCAGCTGGTTAAGCATCTGACTTTGGTTCAGGTCACAATCTCGCAGTTCGTGAGTTTGAGCCCTGCATCGGGCTCTCTGCTGACAGCTCAGAGCCTGGATCCTGCTTTGGATTATGTTTCCCTCTCTCTCTGCCCTTCTCCCACTCATGCTCTTTCTCAAAAATAAGTAAAAAATATCAAACAAACATTTAAGAAAATTTGTCAATGTGGGAAAAGCAAAAAATAAAACAAAATAAAAATGCCTTTTTGCTGTCTGACAATCAGGAAGGCTAAGTTCTGTGAAGGGCTCCAGGAGCAGAGCCCGCTGGCCCAACAGCCATGTAGTCCTTATTCCTAAAAGGGAACAGACACTCAGGGAGTCTTTCTCTTTTAGACTATAACCTTGGGTCTATTGGAGTGGATCTTGGCTACACAATTAAAAGAGAAAAAGGAATCTATTTTTGAAATAGCTAATAGAACTTAAACAATTAAGGGGCAATACAGTATTTTTTGAGTTTTTCTGTTTTCTTTAGAAGTATAGATGACTTTGTTTTCGCAGTACTATTTAAAAGAACATTTCATTAATGACAATACAAAAAAGACAGAACTTTAAGACAAAGATCTCAGGTAATTAAAAAGCATGTTTGCATAATTTAAAAATCACAGTGGAAGAGCTTCAGGCTTTAAAGAATGAGTACCAGGTTTATTCAAGTGGTGATTTTTTCCCCCATGTTTTTCTCTGAATTCCAGTTAACAAACAGTGCAATATTAGTTTTGGGTGCAGAACCAGTGATTCATCACTCCTATAAAACACCCAGGGCTCATCACACCAAGTGCCCTGCTTAATCCCCATCACCCATTTAATATCATACTTTTCTCTGATGATCAAAGTTACACATGCTCACTGTGGACAACCGGGACATTAAAAATATAACATTAAGTAAGCAAATCACCTATAGTCCCATTACCCAAAGATATGTACTGTTAACCTTTTGACAATGTCTTAGTGTCTGTGATGTATTTTAAAATATTAACTGGGACTAATATAAACATTTAATTTATATTCTAAGGTGCAATCATTCTAATATTCAGCCCAGATTAACATCTCATCGATCTCGGCCACCAGTCTATCAAGGCCCACCTCCCCTCCCCCAGCAGGAAGCTTTACTTAGATAATGCCCCGACTCAAGGGTGTGCAAGCCTGAAGGACACTGGGCTGTACTTCTGTGTTACCATTTCTGTGCAGTTATGTTTCTGGAACCCAGTTCCAAAAAGTTCCTTGAAGACAACTACCCTCTCTCCTCCTCCTGTCATCTCTCCCAGTGACTTAGTATACAAGTGCTTTCTGAAAAAGCAGGTCTCCTGCCGCTAGTGAACTGGTGACAGAATGGAGGAATACACGAACAAAAGAATGAAAGGAACCAAAAAGCCACACTGGCAAACATGACTAACTGCCACAATCAAATGGCAGCCACGACACTAATTCTAACTGGGGGTTAGGGACGGGAAATAATGTAATGCACACCCGACTCGCCTGGGTCAACATCATCGGCTTCGGGGCCTTTGTAGAGACCAAACTCGAAAAGCTGACTTGACATTGGGGGAAGAGAAACAATGTCTGTAATTTACTTTAAAATCTTCAGCATACGGGGCACCTGGGTGGCTCAGTTGGTTGGGTGTCCGACTTCGGCTGGCGTCATGAGTTCGAACCCTGTGTCGGGCTTTGTGCTGGCAGCTCAGAGCCTGGAGCCTGCTCTGGATTCTCTGTCTCCCCCTCTCATGCACTGTCTCTCAATAAAAGATATTTAAGATATTCAGCCTAACGATCAACAAGCCTGATCATAATAGTGGAGAGGATATGGAGCAACTGGAATCCTTCACACACTGCTGGTGGGAATGGAACAAAGTCCAACCGCTTCAGGAAACCAGTTTGGTGGTTTCCTATGAAATTAAACATACATCTCTCTTATGACCCAGCTATTCCACTCCTGGAGATTTACCCAAAAGAAATAAAAGCATGTCCACTAAAAGATGTGGACATGGATGTCCACAGTAGTAGCTTTATCCACAATAGCTACAATCTTGGCAACAAAGCAGCAGGAGAGCGAACAGAGACTGCGGTGTAGTCCTACAGTGCAACGCTACTCGGAGCTTAAAAGGAACTCACTACTGATAATTCAGCAATGTGAATTGTCCGGAAAAACACGATGCTCAGTACAAGCCAGGCAAAAAGAGTAAATACTGTTTGACACCACTTATCTGAAAAGCTAGAATAGGCAAACCTCACCAATATTGAGAGAAGACAGATAAGCTGGTAGCCTGGGGTGGGGTGGGGGACTGACTTCAAAACACACAAGATTGTTTCGTAAGCGACCAAAATGTTACACAATCTTGACTGGTGTAGAGGTTATGTGAGTGTATACATTCGTCAAAACTCTACCTATATATAGGCTTACCACACGTGGATTTTATTGTGAGTAAATCATGCCTTAATAAAGTACATTTCAGGAGTTGAAAGAAAACCCTCACGTGGCCAGTACATATGACACGGGTGTGTGTTAGCTTAAGCTACAACGCAGAGGCAGTCAGCTGTCTCAATCAGGAATGCACACTCTAGGGGCTGGTTAGCGAGCAATGCATCAAAAAGCCTCACTCCAGAGGTGGCCACTCTAAGCACTTCAGCTATATTTAGCTCCTATTACACCAGAGGATTCATTAATTATTCCAATTAATATAAGAAAGGTTTGCATTGGTGATATTAGTGGTTTGCGAAATGCGAGGACCGTTGGAAAACGTTTAGAAACATTCGCCGCCCTTCCATTATCAGGCTATGAGAAGAATCTAGCAGGCTCACCACCTACAGAAACGGTGCCCTAGGCTGGATTCCAAAATGTCCACCTGCAGGTCACTGAATTGTTGGTTGTGGGAATTCAGTTAGGCGGTCAACAGAACCCGGCTGTTAGAGCAGGGATTCTCAAACTTGAGCACACATCAGAATTACCGGGGTAGGGAGACTTTAACAACTTCCCAGGCCCTGCTCCCCGATTTTCTTATTCTGTAGACCTGGAGAGGGCCTGACAATCTGCATCTCTAAGGAGTTTCTAGGCAATTCTGATGTGGCTGGTCCCAGGGCCACACTCTGGGCCCCACTGTGTGAGAGGGCTGTGGCCATGCACTGTAAGGCTCTCGTGGCAAGCACCGAAAAAGCCAGGCTGGGGATTCACCGTGACTTTGGCATACAAGACTGTTTTATGCCCCGTGGCTAAGCAATGTTCTTTTGTTCCAGAGTCTGTTCTGAGACTTGCTTTCATTATAAACTGGTAGGCAGGTGAGGGTAAGACAACACCCCCAAACCACATCTAACTACGCATGGCTACGAACTGGCACGAAAGAGAACCTGTGTGGGTCTTAGGTACCCGAAGTGTCATCTGAGAACCAAGAGCATGAGCACCTCTCAGGACCTTGTCAGAAATGCCGAATCGTTGGCCGAACCCAGATCCATGAATCAGAATCAACATTTTAACAAGACCCCTGGGTGGTTTAGATGGTCCTTCGGGTACAATCCATACTGCAATGGTACCTTTTAATGAAATTTCTGGTTTCATGTTGCTAAAGTTCAAGTACGCGTTGTCTTTTGTTCTTGTGTCTTTCTCAAGTTCCACTTTGTGGACTTTTAGGAGATTATTTAATGACAATTAGAACGAATTAACCCAAAACTTCACCCCTGGGATCTATCTGCAGGTCTCTTGTTTATGATAAACACCAATAAAAAGTACTCAATATATTAAAAGTGTCTAAAAGTGTTCTCCTTGAGAGGCGATAGGTACAGATTCCCTCTCCTCCAAGTGAATTGACTCTTCTCCTTAAAGCTTGTGCTCTGCTCAGGCGAACTGGATTCACCTAGGTCCCCCACCCTTCGACTTTGACTCCCCCCACCCCTGACTGCCCTTTATGATCGCTCTCCCATGAGAGCAGTGACTCTTCCTTTGTCTCTTTTCCCCGGTCATCACTGCTTACCTTTTTGGGTGGTCTCAGCCACCCCAGGTCTTGTCGCACTAATCCACAAGACACTAATTCCTGCCCCCTCCTCTACAAGAGTCTAAACCCATCCACCAGTCTGATCAGACTTTCCCACACTTGGTGGCGCAGAGTTCCATCCTTCACAAGCTCATGAACGAGCCCCTCTGGATCCTTTGTAAAATAAGCAACGTGGAAACACGGGGACGCCCTTCTTGTCAAGTACAGGTCACTCTTCCTTTACCACCGTCCCTCAGCACTTTCCAAGAACAGGCCTCCAACTCCAAATTTCCTTCCACTCACTGACTTAAACAAAAGTGTGGAGTGTGACCTGTGTGTTGATCAAACATCTTAGCAGAAGACACCGGCAGAACTTTCTCCTGTTTTTCTCGTCCTTTCTAAGCCTCCTTTTCAATTGCCCCTTAACTCACTGGCCTAGTCTACTCCCTTCCTTCTTTCCTAAAACTAAGATCCTTCTCTTATGACCCCAATACTGTCCCTTTTCCAATTTTCTGGGATCCATTCAGGATTGAGAACAAATGATCTAAACGAGGTCAGAAGCTTCAGACATGTTTTACAGTTTATTTCAAGAACTGGCCAACTCCAC